CCATCAGACAAGGACCGAATCCATCGACGACTCCACGTCATTGCGCGGGAAAACCAACTTCTCGGCCACGACGTCAATGAAGAGCCGAAATACGAAAAGACGAACGCAGAGGACGAGTACTACATCAGCGATCCCGTCGCACTCCTGCTGCGCGACGGACTGGATCTATACAGCGTCGTCGAATACAAGAACAAACACCTGAAAGAATCCGACCGCGATGGCAGACCCTCACTGGCGATCGCGCGCGTGAGCGGAAGACGAAAGAGTTGTCGGCCGACTATGGCGGGACACGACTTCAACAGGACGAACAGGTAGGCGGCTGGGTGGATCAAACGTGTTTCATCCGCTGCGCCAGTGCATTGCGGAGCGCATGAGCCTCGCGCGTCGAAGTTAACATGGACACTGGCTGCGGGGGGCGATGAATCCCCAGATCCACTCGCCGCCTCACCCCGTTCGCGTCGACCTCCCACAACAAATTCTCATCGAACTCGATTCCTGCATCGAGCAGGATGTTGTGGAGAATGCATACCGCCGTGAACTGCTGCGGCAGACTCTCGAGGTTCGTCTTGTGCGTCCGCAGGAAGAGCTTCCACATCCCTTTTAACCTCCTGAACGCCCTCTCCACGACCCCTCTTGCGACCTTTTGTTTCGTGTCGAACCTTTCCTCATCCGGGTGCTGATTGATTCCTCCGTACAGCACCACCACCCACTCAGCAGGAGGATACCCGTTGTCGCCCAAGATGTATCCGTTCGTCGTCACCCCTCCCGGCAGCGTCACAGGCAGCCCACGAAACAGCAATCCCTCTTTCGCGCGCCTCGACAGACTTGACGGCTGGATCACCCTAATGTCGTGGCAGCTACCCGGATATCCCACGAACACATCAAGGACGCGCAGATCCAGGTCCACCACAACCTGCGCAATGACGGAAAAATGGTGCTTGCGGTCGAAGTAGTTCTCGCTAGGCGCGTTTGCCGGTTTGTCCACGTAGATGTGTGTGCAGTCAACTGCGCCATGGCAATTTGGAAAGCCTTTGTCCAGAAAAGCCCGTAGCACGACTTGTTTCCGCACCCCCGTCGGCCACGATATCTTTTCCTCGTACACCCTCAAAATGGCGGTTGTCACATCGCGCACGGCTCGAACTCCGGAAGTCCTGCCCATGCCGAAGGATGATGTGTTGTTATCGTAAGACTCTCCTGTGGCCCACCTATACAGCGCGTATGCGACGATCTGCTCCGGTTGTAGTGGTTCCCTGTAAAACGTCACCTGCCGCTGCACATGAGGCGCACATGCTTCACTGATCTCCATGAACACTCTCCTCGACATGCGGAGCTTTTCCCGGAAGTAGTCCTCTATCGCGTCATCTCAAACCCGTAAATCCTCCCAAGTCTCGCCAGCTCTCCGCCGCATCCACCAACGTGGCGTCGCCCAAGGAAGCAAACCGCACCCGATAGCAGCACACAGTTGAACCACGGCTTGGGATGTGGTGATGCAGTCCGGGGCGTCCAACACCCTTTGCAGCAGTAGCCTCTGCTGCCGCCTCGAAAGCGCTGCCTTCATGCGCCCGGCCGCACTCTCGATTTGAAAACGACGGACAACGGCAACCACAGCCGCCGCGACAGCTGTCTTCTCCGTCGTCGACAGCACAGCAGGTCCATCGCCATCGCAGTCGTTCATCATGTCCCTCGTAGAGAAAAAACGACGTCCACCGCCGCCCACCTCCGTGCACGTATGCCGCCACAGTTGAAGACGCCTGCAACCACGTCAGGAAGACAGCCCGGCCCAACGACGCGATTCCGATTGGAGCGTCCACCCACCGCCGCGGCGCTTGCACGTGGCGAACACGATTGCCTACCGGACGTCTTCGTTTCATCGCGTCGACCACACTTGACGCAGTGGCGGTGCGGCGCCACTGAAATACGCAACGTGATGGCAAACGAAACCCTGCGCGGCGTAGGCTGCCCCCTGGCCGACCCGCCCGTGCGCCGCCACCACGTCGAAAGGGGATTTTCCCGCGTTGGCGATTTTTTTTCCAAGGGCCCATGACATCTTCCCGCCGTCCACGTTTTGGCCCACCACGACTACTACACGGACATCCCGAATCGGAGGCCGGACATTCCTCTCGCGGCTGTGTATAATCTAATTAATCTGGCCGCGGGAGGGCCCCGAGGATTCGTCCTCGGGGCAATTCTCCGAGGACAGGTGGAACGACACCTCCAAAAATCAAAAATTACTCTGAGGATTCGTCCTCGGAGCCCGAGGACGCGCTGAGGTGTGTCGAACGACGCCCTAAGTCCCACTAGAGGGGTTTTAGACTTGTCTTCGAGTATGCACCTGTTCCTTCCTTCTCTCCTATCTGAACATCTCACTGTCGCACTGTGGCAACATAGAGAAACAACCGCTACCAGCAATCACCGTGCATCTGGTCCTTGGCCTCCACAACATCCTGGGCTTTAAAAAAAAAAAAAAAAAAAAAAAAGGAAGACTAAAAACCACCAACCCGGACCATTCCTCCCCACGGGAAGAATAAGTGTTCCAGTCTATTCGTGGGGAGCAGCACGTGCCGGGAACCAGGCCCAGCGTCCCATATCGAATTATACAGGTCATTGAGAACATTTGAGGTCGTTTGAGGTCATTTGAGATACTGGGGCCATTACCCGGTTTCTGTTGCCGGAAATAATACTGGGTTGGTTGCCTACTGGGAAGTCTCCATTCCGGCGCTCCCATGACAGTATCCACCTGGGTTGATATCTGGCCTCTATAACAATCTGGGATTTTTCATAAAAAAAAAAAAAAAAAGAATGGAAAACTAAAGCCCCACTATTGGGACTTACGTGTGGACCCCACTGGCTGGCGGCCTGGACAAGTTTGGGCGCCGGGGTGTTTTCCAGCCCCCACTGGGTCTGGAAACTGGTGTGGAAAGCCGGCCCGGAAAGGAATTCCAGACCCCACTGCGCTTGGAAAGAGGTTGCGGAAATGGTGACGGGGCGTTTCTACATGGTCCGCGGTCTGGAAATTCGATGCCAACCGGTTTCCAGACCCTTTCCAAGGAGGTGGCCAGTTGAGCAGGGGGGGCGGCATGTCCATCAGTTTCCAGACACGGGCTTCACGGCCTGGACCATGCACCCTCGCCTTGGACTGAGACATCCGTATTTCCCAAGGGCCCGCCGTCTGTGGAGTCCATGGTCCCCCGAATTCACGAACGCCATGGTGCACAGTTTGAAATTCAAATTTTTGGCGGGGTTCGGACGACGGCCAGCCATGCAGCGGTGACGGCGATGTCGTCAACCCCTGTACACCGCCTGTTCTGCCCAGCGTTGTCACACGGGGATCCCCGGGGCCCAAGCTGGGGTAGGGGTTTCACCCCCGGACCCCCGCCGCGGGGCTACCGAACCCCCTCCCCCGCTACAAAACCTCCGCCCCTGCCCCAACCCCGCC